GGGGGCCCGGTTTGGGGGGCCCGGTTTGGGGTCCCCGGATTGGGGCCCTGGTTTGGGGGTCCGGTTTGAGGGCCCCGGTTTGGGGGTCCGGTTTGAGGGCCCCGGTTTGGGGGCCCCGGTTGAGTGGCTTAGGCCCCTTAACTGGCCCCCAACCGGGGCCCCAACCGGGTCCCCCAACCGGGGGCCCCAACCGGGCCATAACCGGGCCCCCAACCGGGGCCTTCAACCGGGGCCCCCAACCGGGGACCCCAACCGGAGCCCCCAACCGGGGCCCACAACCGGGGCCCACAACGGGGCCCCCAACCGGGGCCTCAAACCGGGGTCTTCCACCCGGGGCCCCTAACCGGGCCACCAACTGGGGGCCCCAAGCGGGCCCCCCAACCGGGCCCCCCAATCGGGTCTCCAACCGGGGCCCCAACCGGCCCCCTAACCTGTCCCCAGCAGGCCCCCAACAGACCCCCACAACCAACGCCCTAACTCACCCCCATATGCCCTATAAATTTATCATAATTGTCAGTTTTAATTGTTAATTGTTAATCAAAAACATTGAAAAGATTGAAAATATATTAATTGTTAATTGTACATATTTGCAACTAACAATTGATCAATCGTTAATTGCTGTTTCGCAATTGACAATTAATCAATTGTCAATCTTTAATTGCCAGAACAATTAAATTTTGCCCAACACTGCTTCAAAGTTACTAAAATAATGTAAAAACCTGCCTAGGAAAATCTTCAATAAAGACATAAAAAAACAACTTACACTCTTAGTCAGCTGCAGTTTCCAACAATTCTGCGGCAAGTTGCACGTTATCAACAAAGACCCGACACGATCTTTTGTTAAAGTTGGATGAAAGAATCAAAGATAGAACAACCAGACATTAAAACTTTACTGTGATCCAAACAGATCACAAAACTCGATCATTATTTAGAGGGACATCTTTGTCGACGTTTTTGACCCAATTTGAGTAACATACCTAATTTCCAAAATTATCTAACCCTCACAGAAAACACACAACCAATTTCATTAAGCTGCAAGGGATTGCAGACGCATTAAAAGTTACATTTGAGGCTCTACCAAAGATAAAACAGTAGACCTAGGAATTAAATGCCTGTAGTGCAGGTGAGCGGAGGAGGTGCGTAGAAATTGAGACGCAGACGGAAAGTGCGCAAGGCGTATATTAGATATAAAATAAAACAAAAACATATGCGGCTAGGGACCCAATACAAACCATATGAGATGACTTATATATACTATTGGAGTTGACAAAACGATATGGTGTTTCAGGATACAACTAATGCCATCTGGCGGTGGCGGAAGAGACAGAAAAGGATTGTTGAATGGTTTTCTTCGGCCGGCTCCAACCGCGTTTCTTAAATAGTATTGTCGCTGGTTGAGGGCACCTCTTTTTTTAAGTCGTCCCCGTTTACGTAACACTTGTATTGGATGTGAGCAATCCTTATATCACCTCTGAAGGGTATCGGTCAGACGAGTTCGTATCAATATTCACGGTTGTGGTGTAGTTGCATTCAAATCGGGTGAGAAGTCTACTAGCACACTCCACAGGGTGCTCATCTTCTCCCTCCCCCTGGACCAAGACCGCTCCAAGAGCGTAATTGCTCGCATCAGTCTTGAGGACATAGGGCTTCGATTCGTCGGCTTGTCTCAGAATAGGAGCAGTTGTCAGCAATCTTTTCAATTCACAATATGCTACATCTTGTTCATTGCTCCATGACCATTTCGCGTCCTTCTTAAAAACGTAAACGGCGGCTAGAAAAGCTTTAACGACGTCCGAGTTCTTCTCATCGTTGTGCGAGGATTTGCACGAGGCGAGGGTGTTGCGGCGCTGGCTCCCAATTGTCGCCAGAAGACGGTCGAACTGGTCTTCGCTGAGATTCATCTTGCGTCGTCTCATCGTGGTGGTCTTCAATTTGTACGTAGTCCTCCGTACAGACCGCGTTACAAAATGTTGGGGTTCTAAGTAGCCCTCGTTAGTCGCCAGATTGAAGCGCAGGTGAGCGGAGGGGGTGCGTAGAAATTGAGACGCAGACGGAAAGTGCGCCAGGCGTATATTAGATATAAGATAAAACAAATAGGTATGCGGCTAGGGACCCAACAGTGCATCTCACGTGTGTGAAAGCGCAAGTTAAGGGCCGAAGCTTAAGTAAGATAGCAGGGGAGTAAGGACAGAAACATCTCAATAACTTGAGCGCCGTTCAGTGCCATACAGTTGCTATAGCGGTAGAAAGCATTTATATAAGCTTCAGCAATGTAAACCATATGAGATGACTTATATACTGTCGGAGTTGACCAAACGACAACGTGTTTCAGAGTACAACTAATGCCATCTAGCAGTGGCGCGATAGAACTAATGGCTTGTTAAAGTTGTGGTTGTCACACGCCTCTATAAGAAGGTGTATTCCCTGACGTAGGTGTTTTGTCTATCGTCTCAATCGTAAAGTTACTACTAAATTTATGTGAAGATTACAAGATTACTTTAAACGAAGTGATTAAAGAAGAAACGTACCCGATATCGATTTATTAAAGTTCCACCTTAGAAATCACTCAAGCCTACAGTGTACTAGCAGGTGGATGAAGAAAACCGCAATATTTCAGCAAAAAGATTGCACCTAGCGTATGGCAAAAATGTATGGTTTTTCTTTTAATAGAGGTGTCAAATATTTGATGATATTGTTATACTATGTAGGAGCTGTACTCTCCCGCGGATTACATGAAAAACTAATCAGATATACTCATGAAAAAATAATTATAAGGTAATCGACAACACAACCATGCCATTTATCGGAGATTTAAGATTTTTTCTTTACTGTTACTGTGTGTGTGTTAAACAAGAAAAAAAACACAAATAAGAAAAAAATTCACACGTAAACATACAAAATTTTTCAACCACACAAAGTAGTACGAGTATCAGTGAAGTAACATAGATTTGTTTCTGAATTTCATTACAAATTTAAACACAGGAGTTTCTCGAATACTTCCAGTACAAATTACGTATCCGATTACCTGTTGAAACTGCAAAAGAAAACAGAATTTAACGACTTCTGCGCTCTACGATGTGAATAAATCAATACATTAGAAGTGCACTTTGAAATCTTACAGAAAGAAACTAAATATGAACAAAAATTACGAGCGTTATACATACTTTACAAACGGAAAACTTATTACTTAAGTGGTCTGTAAATTTTCAATATTTTTTGACGATAATTTTACAAACACGCACGTCATTTAGTAACAGCTGAACTTCTGGTAAAAGATTTCTTTCAGGGAAGTACTGCCACGTACCTATTTCTGCCGCCGAGCAGAGTAATGTGAGCATTACTGCGTTCCGGTTTTGAAGGGTAAAGGTACTGATGAAATTACACTCGCAATGACAGTGCTTCACAGATTTTTACGATTTAAAGCTCTGAGTGGCACTGGAACTGGACAGACTTGTCACTTACCACATAAAATGTCATAAAAGCGTCGTTATTCCACAGAATTCCCGTACACGTTTAATTGATTTCATTAAACGTTGGAATTTTGAATTTGAAATTCTTTGCACATTGATAGAAAACAAAATTAAATCCTGGTCAAGCTTAGAATTTAATGAATCTGAATCTGGGGACTGGTGACGTAAGGGATGGAGACGACGTACGGAATACATACATACACCTCTGCCTTAACAACTCCTTATTTTGTCATCGTATTCTTTCATTATTAAAGTTTATGTAGCTATAAATTAGTTTCCCATCTACTATAAAATCAGTTATGTACCAACCAATGAATCATTCATCAACATTTATACTTGTATAATACGAAATTTGCTGTATATGATAATAATGACGGGTGGTCATTATTCATTATACATTTTCTTCAATCTGTCCTCTGTCTTGGTTAAATAATAAAATAAATAGACCATAATCGTAATCTCTTAATTATATGTTTTGCCACAAAATTATTGTTTAGGTAAATTAGTTTTTTAGAAATATAACGCGGCTTAAAATCTGATTCTTAAAGAGAAGAAATGTGATTGTCTCTTCTTTGCACGACACAACCGTACACTTGCCTATCGCACAGCTTGAAACAGTTTCACTGATTTGTTATAATTATTAATACAAAGATCGAACACTCAGAAAAAACACTCAGAAAAAATTACTTCGATCCGGTCGGATTCGAACCGACGTCTTCTTGCATACCGTGCCAGACGCTATACCAACTAAGCCACGGAACGAACCAACGGACCTCACGAATTTTTCTATGTGCTTGCGTCGTGTCTTTGTACTTGGTCTTTCAACGACTTTTTTAGTCGTTGAAAGACCAAGTTTAATCAGTTTCACTGATTTTTATGCAGAGGGGTCCCTACTATACTGCAGTAGCTTAGGTAGTACAAAATAAAAAATTGTACAATAATAATAACCTATTACTGACTGTTTTATTAAGTCGTATTCCATAGAACTCCAAAACCTTTAGATTTTAATAATGACCAGATCCTCAGAGCGCAGGTTCTCATCCAGTAATAAGTTCTAAATTTCTAATACAACCATTGACTTACAATTATAATACAACGGAATAATTTAGAACGGAATAATTTTTGGATTTAAATAATTTAACCAAAGTAGAATTCCTCCACGAATTAGTCTTTGTCTAGTCGAAGGACATCAATAATTAGGTATAATTGTTTCAGTAATCATCTGAGGATGACCTACCACGCAGTATGGAGGTAAAAAGGGAAAAATCAGGCAGCTTATCGCCAGTAAGACCAACGTCGAAGCGAGACAGTGGAGACGAAGGAAAAGGATCCAGGTCGAGCAGTAAATCAGATAAGGAGCTAAAATTACCTCCAGAGAAGTCACCCTGTGATGACGTCACAGTGAAGAAAGAAAGGCGTCTTTCAAGAAATAGCGACAATTCCAAGGACACTTTTGAAAGGTGAGTCCACTAATCAGCCTTTATTTTATCTCAGATTTCAGCCAAGCTCGCCTAGTTTGAGCGTAATTGCCTTCTTAAATGGTGAACAATCGTTCTGACGATCTGCCCATGCAGCACGTTGTTCGTCGATGAGAAGCATGTTTTAAAATGATTCGTTGTAATGACTGTTATCAGTAAAAGCAGCGCCATGTGATCTTACTCATCAAGTCATTTTTTTGACTGACCGTCTCATGCGGACTATTCGTCATAATTTTATTTTTCTAGCGAACAGAACAGCACGCTCTGGAACAACGTCGACGTCAGCCTCTCTACGAATATCATATCAAATGTATGGGAGCGTTTAACGTTAAAATATTGGATATTTCTAATTTTATTTCAAAAAAGTTATTGATGTAGCTTTACTCATTAGGTAACGTACTTTCAATATCAGTTTAAATATTTTTAATATCTCTTATATGTACGGGATTCTTCCGTAATGATTACCTGGGCACACTTAACGATTACAGCGTGTATAGGTCGCGTTCTAAACAGTAATGATTTCATGAAACCTATTATTGCTACAGATAATACCAAAGCAGACTAATTAGTTTTGAGTAGATGTGGGTCAGCATCGGTTATGACAGTATGACATTAGTCCCGACTATTTTTGGCTCCAATTACCATGTCAGAGCCTCCATGAGAACTAAGTTATTCCGCAACGTTGTGCCCACTGACACGTAGCCTAATAACTTGACGTTTCGCCAGACACAACATCTGCATACAAAAGCTACAAGTTGCTTTTGCTTTTGAAATTAAATTGTTGGCGCTTGTATTGATATTTTTACATCAATGTTTGAGTTATGAAGAAAATATACTTCATAATTATCACTTTTTTATAAAAAAATCTAACCTGAAAAATTTCTAGAATTACATGTATTTGTGAAGTTTTATTGAAATCGGTTAACGTGAATTACAATAAAGCAGATTCATCCATTAAGTTGCCGCCCTTAGAGGTGCAATATATTCTTCAAATTTAAATGGGACCGTTACTAAGGTACCTCCTTTCCAACATAAAACGAATATCGAAATCGGTTCTCAAATGTCGGAATAATAGCGTAAAAAAAAACATACAGTCGAATTAAGAACAGCCTCCTTTTTTGAAGTCGGTCAAAAATACGCTTCGTGGCATAGAATCCAAATGTGACTCATAAACTAATTCGTAAACATACATAAAATAAGATCGGCACTTAATCTAAGTAATAATTGTACCGGATTGGAGGAGCGGTGGCTTCTGACACAGGTATTTTCGTACCTACTTAAAAGAAGTTCACCGGCAATGATATATGTAACCTAGATTAAGTTAAGTCAATAAATTTGTTTTTTTTTAATAGTTTCGTCTGATAGTACTTTATGAACTTTGCAAATCTCACACTTTTGTAAAAAAAAACGACCTCGCAATGATAACTCAACATGGACAAAAAGCTGAAAATATACCTATACTGCCCTCCTGAGTTAGGAATAGTGAACCGTTGAAATTTTTATATTCATTTCCAAGATCTTTTTGAAATAGCCTATTTCATTTCGCAAGAGAACGCTAAATTCTGGAAAAAATATTTCACAAAGGCGTTGCTAGATGGTGCTTCACCGAGTACCGTAAAATGCTTAAAGGAAAAAACTTTCACAGTGACGTCATTGGTTATTAGCCAAGTTAGCGTGGCCGGGTCTCTTTAAAACGACTTTACAATGAGCACTTTTAATAAATTGCGAAGTCGAGCTTTTAAAGAATTAATAAAAGTCAGAATTTTAAAGTTGGGAAACGTTTGTTAAAGCGAATTAGCTCTAACTAAGTAACGTTTTTATCGTCGTCAGCACAGAGTAGTTCTCCGTTAGGCATCCGAATGTCTGGATTGTCCAAGTTGCGCTACTTGCGCCTTGATCCAATATCGGAGCTCTATTTGGTTCATGTCACCAGACCATATGGGCAGCATTCTTTCACTTCGCCTTCTCAGTCGAAGTCTCCATAGAACTTGCTTCATCACTCTAAGAGTCGTATTCCAGAACTGTACTCAATACTCAAGTCAGGACATGAGTATTACAGTGAGCACTGAAAATCATACTTAATTCCTTGCCATTAGGGTCGTATTTCCAGTGCTTCAAATCAGACTCAAGTCTGCTCAAATCCTGATTTGAGCATTGAGTAGAGTTCTGGAATACGACACTTAGATTGAGCGGTCCAGGTGTGACCCGAGTCCCGTCAATTGTATAGGTTTGCTGCGTCATTGATAGTTTCCTTAACCTTCTATGTGACTCGGAATTTGTATATGAGCCAAATCCGACTTCAGGGTAAATTTTACGGAAATACTTTGATGCTACGCTTCGATAGACCTTCGCCTTTAACGACTTTTTCAGGATATTTCGCTTTCAAGATGTCTTTGAATTTTCCAACGCTAGCTCAGTGCAGCTGTGCTCTTCGTCCTATCTCGATCAATAGAGAGTCCTATCCTAGTTCTACTAGCTGATCACAGATAAACATAATTCGTCACGTAATCTCTCTATTCACGTGACGGCTCGTGGATTTTGCGGTTACAGCTATAGCGGCAGCGAAGCGAAGCTATTTGTGCTCTTACCATCGCAATCTTTAAATTTTTGAGGACGTCTTCCATCTGACGTACTTATTTTGAGGTTACCTTTCCTAGTTATACTATCATGATTGTTGTTCTAGACTCTGAAATATTTTTATAATCAATAGGGCACTCACAGCTTAGTCTATTACCGAGGCAACAATCTTCTTATAGCCCTTAATTATATCTAAATACATTGGCCTATTATTATAATCTTCTGTTTTGTTTATTATTTGCTTCGGTTCAGGTATTTTAAGCAGTAAATAATACACAAATACACTTAGTAATAAAGCACTTGTCAAAACACACATCTCAAAAGTGCTTTTACCATATATATGAAAGTCATAAAAAAGCAATACGAACTACATGAAACAAAATAACTATAGTTGGTATACACAACATATCTACGCTTAGAATGTCTTGGAACTGCAAAGTTACAGTTAACAGAAGTGATATTGTATGAAATTTCCAACTTAGACGTCATCACTTAAAGTAAATTAATCTCCTGCCTCATGTCATATTGCGTCCAAAATAGATTAATTGGTAATAGATGAGATAATTGTTTACGAACAAGAAACTTGAACAATCAGCATCATAACGATCTGAACAGTTATACTAACTAAAATTTGAACAAGAAAGCTAGATTTGGACAAAGAATTTAAAAAAATTATTTTAAATTTAAGGACCAGGGACCTCAGTGATCCAGCGGTTAGCCAGTGGGCACTAGATCCCAATTTCGATTCTCGGTAGAAACTTAATTTGAGAAAAAAATTTTCCGATGTTTGTTCTGGTCTGAGGTACTGGAGTAACCTGGATCCTGCTATCTTTCATCAGTATTTATACGGCCACAGGGCCCTATACGGCCATACGGCCACAGTAAGCCAAGTTCATAATTACAAAACATTCTGCGAATGCCGCTTTTTTCCAGTGAAGAATTTTGATATTATTAAGCCGGGCACTCACGAGCTGTAACCGTAACCGTGCAACGGTTTGCCGTGTTTTTTCAGATATTTAACTTTTTAGATTTGGATAAAAAATTGTAAAATTCTTTAACATTCTTGTAAAGTCTACTTGGGAAGAGCGGGGTCTCCTGGCACAGGTATTTATATACTTAAGAGGAGTTAAAAGTATCCTTTCCACTAATCTGCTTTGTATTTTTTTTTTGTTAAAGAATAAACATTTTTGTATTTTTTTTTTGTATGTTATATTACCAAAAAGCATAGTAAGTACGTGATTCGCGAACATGCCGCGAGCCGACGTTAACCATGTACTCTTACTAGCGGATGAAGACTGTTTCACGTGTACACACGTACAGTTACAACTCCCTAATAAGTACCCGGCTTTATACTTTGTACTGTGACCCACCGAACTTAACTAACATCTACAGTGAGCTTCGCTTGTTACGGCTGACCTTGTTTTTGTAGTCAGCATTTATACCACGTCGTTTGTTTATCTCGTCGTATATAGAATAATAAATGAAAAAGAAATGTTTTGGAACATGAGGTATAAGGGATCTCCTGGGATTATGAAGTCTTATGTGCGGTGGTTACTTTGCTTTTCTATTGATGTCCACGGTTTCAAACCCAAGTGGTGAAATGTACTACTTACCTTTCGTAAATGTTTAGTAGTTTATCCGTCGCTAATTGTGAAAGGAAATAATGTAGTGAGACTTATTTTACTATTCATAATTTATTTGTGTGTTAAAACAACATGTGTATGTTGTGTACAAGTTGACATGTAACTATATAAGCATAGTTTCACTGTGGCCGGTCAAACGTTAGGCTTCTAATCACACGAAGTTCTCAAGTGTATCATACCGCATACACACTCTTACTATGACCGATATGTAGAGGTAGATTATTGGTATATATAGATACCCAGTGTACCACATCAAAATTAGTTGTGTGTGGTTTTTCGTCAAGTAATTTTCTACTCACGACTCTTCTGAAAAATTTGCATTAACCTCTAGATTATTGTCGTCAATCTTCACTTAAGCCTTCACAAGTTGAGTCTAGTCGGAAAAGCTTTTCCTTATCTCTATGAGGTGTTAATTTGGCAAACGCAATTACGTTCATTGTTTCTTACATTGCCTTGCGTTGGTTTCTACAATTACGAGATACGCGATTTATTAGCCAACTTTGTAACAAACTGCTCTTGATAAACAATGTATTCGGATCTTATGTAGCTTCATATCTTAACTGTTTCCCAAACTTCAATGTTAAACTATTGTTTACCATGTCACATTCTGTATAACGTACTAATTCGATTCACATTCCTACAACAAGTTCGTATCTAACTATTCAACTCTACGTTATTCGCAATTGAATGAATATTTAGTAATTGTTAATGAACGGAATTTATTTACTCATCCGTAAACAAAGCTGTATGCAGCGGAGAAATATGCATAAAGTTGAATTAGCAATCAGTACTTTCTAAAAATTATCGACATTTTCCATCGCTGCATTGGGTAATTCTTTTAATTGTGCGTTTTAACATATTTGATAATTCCACATCTTATTACATAACTCATATCACTTATGCTAATTCACTGAACTCAACAATGCTACCCGAGCAAAACTGACTTTACCCAACATATTGTTTAACGTGTCAAGAGTGTACCAAAATATCTTGTCCTGGTTATTATTTTAAATAAAACACAGCAGATGAAAAGTATTCCGAAACTAAATAATATTCGCCTGTTTGCTTCATTGGTCATGCGCATCAACAAAGTTGAAATAACTGAACCTCGTTAAAATTGATGAGTTTATTCATTATAGAATGAGCCCATAAAGTTACTAATGGTGACATCTGTGCTAAACAGCGTTTAGTGAGACTTGAGAACGTCCACTGAAGTACGTTGAACGTCCCAATGTGGAACCGCCTTGGAATTGACAACATTAACGCCTTCTTACTGACAAACAAGAATAGTTTTTTTAATTACACACAAACATTATTTTGCAAGTAACCTTTAGAATGACCACATTCGTCAGTTGTTTAACATCAGTAGTAAAATCTAGTGACATATTAAATTTGACTATATTTTCACGCAGGCAAGATTCGAAAGCAACTTCACTGTCGAGCCCGAAAGTATCAAGAAAATACTTCACGAACTGGCGGCAAGCATGTGACAAGACAAAAGACAAGACGAAAGAGCTATTAAAAAGGTGGAGGACGCTGCCCGAGGCGGAGGCGGTAGAGAACCAGATGCAGCCAGCCGGAAACCACGAGTACGAGAAGCACCACGGCTGGAGTGTTCATGTTTGGAGTGAGTAGACATTTCAAAAGCATAGTTTTATAACCGTGAATATGTGTCGTTAATGGTGATAAAATCGCGAAGAAATCGGAAACGGAGTGTCTTCGGAGACATGTGAATTTTTTATCTGCGCTGGCCTTCGTATTATTACAGCAGTGAAACTAATAGGTATTAGTAGGTAGTACGTTGATAATTGTTTTCATCAACCGTATAAAGGGTGTAAGCGATGTCCTCGGACTGGATACCTAAAATATGTTTTATATGTACTTAAAATCGTAACAGAAGTAATACGGTGATGACGTCACATAACTATTAATATTTTGTCATAAACGATAGCTAATACAAACGTAATTTGAATTGGAATCTGTAAAATGATTTGTATATAACCCCAAAAACAATAAAATTGACAAAAGCGCAAGATCTAGACTACATGTTGAAACCCATCTTTGTGGTACTTTCGAAACTTGGGAGGTATATATTGTACTTGATCGGTGCTCTACAACAAGCACTCTCTTGACTCCGTACAATTTCATGAGCTTGTTTCCTTATATGGCGAATAATACGAAACTAAAGTACAGTCTGTAACAATTTTTTCTTTAGGGTTTCTAACGTTTCAGTGTCCAAAACCAACTTGTGACTCTGCAGGACGAACTCGCCATCATACATGGCGTATTAGGTACCTACCGAATGCACAATTATGCATTTATACTCGAGCAACGGAATTCAAACACTGAATTCAAGTAACATGATCTAATTAGAACCATGTTGCAGCGTCTATCGTCTTCTTGCCTCACAAATGTCAAAAGTTGGCCTCGCGCCGTTTCCACTATTTATATATATATTAATGCAGGTTATGACTCGCAATAGCCCGGGAAAGATATTCATTCTATTTTCCACGTACTCGCCTTTAATTTTGTAACAAGCGTAATTTTCTGTACCTACATTGTTATTCAAGTATTCCTAGAATATTGATTTAATGTGGCAGTTCCTTTGACGAATGGATCTTCCCCTTTTTTCACAGACATCGTGGTTGTTTCGTATTTTAATAGAGCCCGCCGATTATTATGGATATATTTTGACGGCACGCAAACCCGATATTTCCTGCCTTTTTTTATTGGGATCAAATTACCATGGCCGAGATGGTTATGATACCCCTAAACGTTCAGATTTGAAAATAAATGCATAATTTAATTTATTTTAATGAAGTAGATAAGTGTGCCACGAATCCCGCATTGCGTTACAATTTTAAGGCTTGATGAAGATGACCCGCTGAAGTCGGTAATGCTATCAATTACTGAACATGAGTCTCATACAAAATATAATAAATATTACTCTATTTCGATTTTCCCGAACCTCTTTCCATAGAGGAAATGATGAAAACACATCATCCGCATACTAAAAAAACCAAGGCCAATTCATAAACTCCACCGAAAGATTTATACGTTCGTAAATGATTGCCCCATTTACCAAGGGAGTTTATGATGTCAGAGCTTCAATTTCTAAGAAATATCGCTGCTTAGGTATAACTTAATAACTTTTTATTAGACAATAAGTTGAAATTTACAAGTAAGGTAAAATAAAAGCTTAAATAAACACTAGAAACTGAAACCATTTAATAACATGAATAAAATGGGGTACGCAGCAAGGTGCCCAAGATGCTGGCAGTTTTCCCCCTTTGTATGGCTTTGCTAATGCGTTGGGCAAGGTACGAGTAGCTGCCGGCCATTGGGTTTTCCACTTATTCCTGGGTCTCCATTATCCTCTTAAGCAAACCTTAAACCAGTCGCATGCTCAAGCTTTCATTCCAGAGATACAGTACATTAATATTCTAAAAATAAAATACAATATGGAGACGATGCACAAGTTAGTTTAGATATTTTTTAATCTGTTCACACTATTCCACTAACAGAGCACAATAAATCCTAGACACAACTTTTGTGCACTACATATGTTGAAATTGTTCCTCGGCATAGTCATTCATGATACTAACAAGTTTGAAAATATGAACAAGAATGAAATTTTCTTGTTCGAATTTAATATAAACAAACATTGTAGCATTAATTATTTTGGCATTAAACGAACATTCTGTGTACTTATTAACATAAATAGTAGATCGTTTTCCGTCTTTTGTTTGGTATATATGTACGTCAGTATTCTGTTCTTGTGTGCAATATAAATTAAAGGTAATGTTTTATAGAAGAAAAGTTGTGTAATTTGATAGCCTTGGTGGCCCAACAGTTTGCACTGTGGGCGCTGGATGAGGAGGTCCCGGGTTCGATTCCCGGTAGGACCAATTTGGGAAACAAACTTGTTTCTATAGGTTTTGACCTGGATGTACCGGGTAATTCTACGGTGCTCATAATACATTAAATTTCCTAATTTGAAACTAGATTATTAGTATACTTGTCGGACCCCTTTTTTTAATCTCCGCTGTGCACTGCGCACTGTACACTTTGAAGTGCTAATAAGATTCATTTTACATACAGTCTAGGAAGGGAACTCGCCTACATTTTACGAGTACACTGCAGCAATTCAACCGCCACTTTGAATTTCCATCCAAATCGAAATTGCCTAGTTCGATACGATTGTCATTAGTTTGCAACTTAACCAGGTAAAATTCTAGGTAAAAGTCAAAAACATACTAATATATGCTTGTATTTTTGTGCCTAGTAGCATGTTATATAAGATTTACGACGTACAAGTAACGTATAACCGACCACGGTTATGTAATGTCGGCCAAGGCGAAATCTTACATTAACTTTATATCCATGTATACAAAAAAATTTGAAATATCAAAAATGACGTTATTCAAACGCTCTACTTGGCGCCTCGTCAATGTAAGCTTAAACTAAGCTTATTATAATATTACTCATATTCGTACCATGACGAACCTGTCAACCAAGTATTATTGTGTGATTGAAAAAACGAATGATTTCCCAATATTGTCTATTCCTTACTAAAAACAGGAAAGAGACAACGCTTTGTGAACCATATGCTACCATCTATTTCTTTTTTTAAGTTCCGAATCGTCTTATCGTAGTATAATGTTTAATTTTGACTGTTAAAAAAAGAAAAGTATATAATAATAAAATCTATTAAAATTACGTTGTTTTCAATAATTATTCCGTATTTTCATGAAGAAAAATAAATAAAACAAGCTGAGTCTTGATAGTTCGGAAATAATTCGGAATTATAGTCTAGTGTCAACAGTTAGTTTCGCCAAGGAACATATATATATATATATATATATAATAATTTTACGAAATAAACATCGCGTATTATTATTTAACGAAAAATCATTTACTATGTGCTATTACATTAAAAATAAACAAAATATTGAACAGGTATATGTAAATAAATAAGTTCAACTTAACTTTTAATCATTACAAATCAATATTAAGACAATAAAACTGAAAATAATATTGTTTCCATTGCATCCGCGTAACCATTTTAAGATTGCTAAATTTGAGCAATTTTTTCAAAAAATTGACATAAGAGCAATATTACTTTAATGTTAAAGTCACGTCTTAGTATGAACTGAGTGAATGAATAGTCACAAAGCTGCCAATAAAACATCATAGTTTTAACATTACAATAAGCTTACTTTAGGTGCGTTATGGTAAGAAAAGTCAATGTAAGGTTAAATATATTATAATATTGTTTTAAGAGGTTGTGGTATGCCCCTGTCTCCTGATTGGTCAAACTACAAGCACTCCTTGGCCCATCACGGACATGTCTACTCTATCTTTGTTTTTTTTTTGTTTTTTTTTTTGGGTTTTTTTTGACTTTCATTGGGGTCTGCTATAGTGGATTGTTAACAAAATATAGATCAAACATTTTACTATAAAGTTGTGTTTCATTATTTTAATTTACTCGTAGAAAAAGTATTGTATGCTAATTAGATCTTAAAACCCAGAAGGAGATGTCGTGACAGCCTAGATGTTCCTATGAGTTCTAGGATAGCCGTAGTAGCCTAATGGTTTGACCTAGCAGACGCCGTGCCCTACAAACAGAGGCCATGGGTTCAAATCTGGATTCGCACCAATGAGTTTCTCGGAATTGAACTTCGAAATATTATTCTTTATGTTTATTTGAAAGCTACCATGAGCTTTTTCGGTGAAGGAAAACATCGTGATGAAATTTGCACATGGAAGAAGGTTCAGAACCTTCGGAAAACGTGAGAACGTGTCCCACATTGGGCCAGTGTGGCCTCCTTGCAATCCTTGCCTGAGAGGAGACCTGTGCCCAGCAATGGAATGTATAAATGGGTTGATGATGATGAGATCTTGTTTGTAGCGTCATTAAATCGCGATGAGTGGAGGTCTTTGCCCTGCAGTAGTGGGATAATAATTACTGAGAACTTAAAAATGGAAAAATATTTTTAAATCAACTCTTCCACGTCTCACTTCGCGTAACTTTACTTACTTAATATAATTATAAAAATGTAGATTATTTAGAAATTAAAGTTCATCGAGTATATAACCAGAAATAGAGACGAAATGTCATTTACTTTGTTTGAAAACTATTCTGCCATATCACTACGGCGACAACTGCGCTCCGATTGGCCAGCCCGAATTCGAAACTATTGTCGGGTGTCGTCAATTGTTTCACTTCAAATCGACCAGTTTAACGTAAGCTTTGCTATAATGGACGAAATTTAAAAAATTACATAATTAAGTATTTAATTACCGATGATATGTGATTCCATTTGTTTTGTAATTAGATGTTTTGCTGCTTTTCCCACACCACCAAATGGAACACACCACAGTTAGATATATTTTCTTTATTTTAATAAATACAGAATATTTTTGGAATATACGGAGACGTACACACAGGTCAGTTGTTGGCGCTGTACTATTATCAGCTTTCTAATTTGTGAGTTCAGCGCATACGAGAGTTGATACTTAAAAGTGATATCAGTACCATTTGGCAACTCATTGCCAGGGATGTATGACCCTTATTTCGTCTCTATTTCTGGTTATATACTCGATGTTAAAGTCATAGGTGCCGTC